CCCCCGCAGGTGAGTGTTGGGCGACAAGGAAAGGAGTGGACGACATGGATGGTCTGGGTTCCGCATTATTCGGTATACCAAGATCAAATCTCCTCGAATGCGGCGGTACTGTGTGGAGTTTAGTTGCAGTGATTCCAGTCTTTCCGCATAACTCGCACGCAGGGGAAATCGCATTTTGCAATACCTTCCCTTTTGTGCAGAAAAATCCAGATCAACGGTGAACATAATCACGTAGTTTCTGATTCTGTAATGTCGCCCTCCACAGTATGTCCCACTTCCTGATATTTACTCAATTTGTCTTTGACCAATGTACCGGTTGGCCATTGACCAACCAAACAACCTGTAATGTCGCAATCAGACAATGACGTTTCATTTAGTGTAACGCGAACATTACACTAATTGGATAACCATTTTGTGGAAAGCACACAGGTGCCAGCAATTATAAGGACTTTGTAACATGATGTCAAGTTGCAAAACAGCCTGTCAATCAGAGAGAAGTAGAATGTGTTGGAAAGGCTCAGCCAGCCAGTTACAACTCAGAACTCCGTATTTCTAGAAAAGCTTTACAACGTTATATCTGATCGAACCAGTATCGGAGAATTTGTCAATATCGAAGGAGTTCAAGATAACAAAGCCGCACTATTCTCCAATGTCAGATTAGTAAGCAGGCCTCCAAAGTGCTCCTCAGTATTACACCCAATGGACTAGGGTGTGTTTTGATCTTTCAAGTGTTCGTTTGCGAAATCTTTACTGAAACACTTTTGGTCAAAGATGAGCAACTAAGCATAGAAACCGAAGTGGTCATTCTCATGGCTATGCATCTGGTCAGAAAACCGTGATATTTGTGCACCAGCGCCTACTGATCAACACTTTCATAAATGCTGGGTTCAAACTCAGTTTAAGCTATTTGCCTTAGATAATGCTCGAATTTCGGATTGACTACTGGAGTACAAAGTTGGTTTAAACGGTGCTTTTGTTTGGTTTCCACCACATAGCTAGGCTAAGAAAAACGGCAATTTATGATTTTGTTGAATAGTAATTCTGTAACTTACAGTTTTTTGCAATACTATAGGGCAATCGATTGTGGTCATTTTTACTACAAAGCCACGGCCAGGTTTAAGGCCGAGAGATTACTCTAGCTGACGGGAGTGAAATTCTATTGACCGCTGGGCTCTGTGGAAAACGGGTGATCAATGATCGCGATTCACCCAGTCGGTGGTAAATGCAGGTGTAGAGTAAAATGTGCGGTCTCCAGTCGATCGATACCCACTGTCCCATTGGCGTGCTTCTGTGACTGGATGTACAGTATTCTCTACTGAAGACGACAACTGAGAAATGATGAATTTACAATTTGGTTCAGCCATGATATGAGCTGTTTGGCACAGTGGTAACGCACACGCCGTCCATACGTTGGTCCGGGGTTGAAATCCCGGACGGGACGGTGTTTATGCACCAGTGAAGAGCTCCAGTCTGGTGCTTCCAAGTGTATGGTTGAATCGATGAACTGAGGCATGTGCGTGAAGGTGAAGTCCGACGGTTAGTTAACTGAAATCAGTAAAAAATATCTATTATCCTTGTTGGAGCACTGACAAAAGTGGACAGGGTAAAGGTCACGTGGGTTTACTGGGTTCGTTGTTGTGTCTGAGCGCTATGCACTTATAGTTTGCGAATCAAATTAGAGCACCACGTAGTGAATTTAATCCGCGACTACAGTCTTGAGTAACAAATGTACCTATCGGTAGCGGTAAACATCGGCATCAGCAAATGCTTACGAAGGAATAGATGTCTGCAGATACTAAAATGGTACACACTTTTACCAGAAAATCATGAATAGATGGCGCAGCGAACAATGAGTTTAGAACAGTGGATACCCAGAAACAGATACCTGACTTGTTTTCGATTACGTAGCCTCGTTCGATTGCGATATCATCAACAAATCACGTGTACACGGTCTAGTCTGAATCGTCAGTTATTTTAGGGCGGTCAATATAGATTATGATGAGCACCATTCACTCAATTCTGTGGTCAGCCTAACATTGCAGTTGATTGGAGGAATATCTAGAGTTTTTAATCCGGTAACTACAGGAGAATTTCGAAAGAATGGTAACTGATTTCCGAATAACTAGACACTGTAAATCGAAAAAGGGCTGAATACCGAATGTGCTAAACTAATTTTTTGCTGATAACATCATAACAGATTTCAATTTCCTCTGCACAAAGGCTGTTTAAGGCGACATATTTTGATTCCGTTTTAATTAGGCAGTAGATAAGTTTAGACATTGGCAGGAAGTAACGCGCTTCCCACCTATACGGTTTATTTTGTCACAAAACTGCCATTCGATTTTATGCTACTTAGCATCCACTACTGATTACCATGCTGTCAAATGGTTGCGACATGTAAGGAGATTAACAGTATATATTTAATCGTACTGGTTCCGCCTACGACAGCACACCTTTTTTGCAGTCACCTCTTTGGATTGGAGAAATGAACATGGAAGGAGACAGGTCGCGTGGAGAGAAGACACAAATAACTGCACGGATAGATCGTGCAGACTCGTTGTTTCCCATTTTTCCGTTCAGGGTCCGCAAAAAACACCTTATTGTTGGATGATCGGAGACACTGAGGGTCACAGCAGTGAACCAACCAACAGAATTACCGCTCTTTTTTCGGTTATTTTCAAAACAGAATGCTGGAAACGGTATCCATCCGCATTTGGACGATGTAGTCGCTCCCTATTGTTCACCTTCTTTCCTCTCACTCAACACGGCCCCACTATCCGTCTACTGTGCTTATTTGTAATTTATGCATATTGTAAGCTTGAGACCGCTCAATAATTTTACCTTCACCATATTTCGCTGCACTGAGATCATGAGTGGTTTATTGAATGGTGCTATAAGTTTAACTGTTCCTATTATCTACTCAGTAATTGGGAAAAAATGAAATTCAAGCAATTCGTATATTATTAACTGAACGGGAATTTACGGGTCTTTTAAAATTTTTCATTAATTCGATTTGTCCTTGAAAGTGGTCCCTTACTGCCGGAAACAACGTCATCCATATTCTGATGACGTCACGATATTGTATTACTTCATTTCTCGCTCATTATCTGCTTCAAAGAACGTCACCACGGCCACTGTGCCTGACACAAGCCTACCTGGGCACAGACCAGTTTTAGCTGGTTGTCGAACGTATCGACGCCATGGTTACTTCCCCCCGGTGGAGGCTCTATCTGGCAGATCTGATGCAAGCGGTCCCGATATGCATCAATCCATGGATTCATACAATCGTGCCAGTGTGGATTCTGTTGACTCGGATCATCAGTACGTCCGGGATAACGCCGGATCAATCACCTCAGCTCCCGTAGTGGCCTGCTTGGAGCCTTCTCGCTTGCCGGCCATCTTCGGTTCACATTGGAATGTGGAACTGGCATCGCCTCGTGCAGTCTACTATGAAGAAAAACAGCTGTAAGTGGTCTCCGCTTTCCAAGTAAACGCTGGTTCCGGATCGTGTAAATATTTCATATGGGCTCTTGAATTGTGTGAATGCACGACAGAGTCTCGGTTTAGCATTCCATTGAATTGGGTGGTAAAAACGAAAAGACCAAGAATGCAAGTGTGGAAATATTTTATATTTGATGTGTGCGAATTTGGAACAGTTTTATTGTTCACATCATCTTTTTCACTTTCCGGGGTTCCTCGTTTTCAAATGCAAAGAATAGCTCCAGCCCCCTACTTTCCCCTTAAGAAACCAGCGTTTCCCCTCCGCTGTTATGTTATCACATTCAATCTGGAATGCACTTGATGAATACCTCTAAATTTTCAGAGTGATTCCTTTGTGTGTCTAAGGCGAATGGGCTTTTTATCTTACACACCACTTTGACAGTATGGTTTACACCCAGGATTAAACTGTCTGATTGTTGTCTCCCCTTCTAACAAATGTCACAGAATGATCCGTTTCAGTCTTTGGTTCAACACAAATGAAGATAGTTGTTTGGCAGGTTTGAAGTTTGTGTGGCGATTGTGAAAAGTTCAGTAGCCTCGGTGGGATTCGAACACACGCATGGACGCCGCCTACGCTTTGTAGCGTCGTAGCCTCGTAGCTCAGCTTGTAGAGCATGCGCGTACAAAGCGTAGGCGGCGTCCATGCGTAGGTTCGAATTCCACCGAGGCTACTGAACTTTTCACAATCGACATACAAATGAAGATGTCAGGCGATATCATCCTAAGCCGTAGCATTTCGGATGATCCCTCTGGATTTAAACAGGGCACATTCAATTTGTTATCCTTTTTGAGTATGCACCGTGTGATCGAATAGGAGTGTTTTTTGATCACGTTCGGGTTTCTCTAAACCTAAATCTACCAATTAGAATGGAGAAATTTGCCAGTTTTCACTATCTGATTGGCTTTATCTGGATTTGTTTTCATTGTGTTTGCCTATAATGACTAAAATATATATGATTTCATTCTATTTTCCGCATGTTGGCGTATTCCCAGTGGAGCACAGTCTTTATTTTGGTAGTTTTTATCTTCCTTCACTGAAGTAAAAAAGTTATGAACACCTGAGTTTGTGTGATTTGTTAAATGGAAGCACTTACAACATTTTTTTCAGTTCAGTTCGCTTCTTACAACCATGAAGCATGCACTTTCGTGCTCTGGTTTTCGCTGCCCATTTGGATAAAACAGCACAATGTAAATCGGAATGTTAACAGCAGATTCAAGCAGAAGATAGTGCATTTATATAGACTGAAGTTACAAGGATAACGAGTGGGTGTATGAGCGCCCCTGTTGGCCACACCCAGCCATATCGCTCAGTGTCTCTAACCATCGGTGACGATGATCTCTGGGTCCCCAGCCAGGGAGCCTAACGGGACCTATGTGAGCCAGTCTCCTAGTCAGGGTTTTCATATCCTCATGCCAGGTCTTAGCTTGACCACCCTTCATTTTTTTTCCAACCGCCAGCTGCATCGGCAAACATCTGTATCAGGTTCTACCACGCTCGATGTTTTTCTTCTTCTTAATTGTAGTCAAATCACACCAGCTCATCCGATCATAATCTTACGTGAAAAGTATGCCGACGATACATTATCGTCTATTGTGATCTTTTCCATTACGCGTTCGAAACGTTTATTCTGGTCTTGGCCTTTGAATTAGCACAGTTTGCAAATCGGGGTAATTACCGTGACTCTTTGTATATGTGTGTGTGTGTGTGATAAAAGAAATGATTGATTCGCCCTAGAAACTTGCACTCGTTTTTTGCGGAACACACTTCAACCTCTCGTTCTTTCTCTAACGGTGTGCGTGTGCTAGCCCTCGTTAATTGCCACAAGATATTGAATGTCACCCCGTTTATCCGAGCCCGAGAGATGTGTTCGTTCTGGCANTGGCAACAGCATTATTATTCCGGAGACCAAATCCGTTACGGATTCAATGGTATGACATCTGAAATGTGACGCGGATAAAGGGGCAATAGCAATACGCGTGAAAACGCACTGGCAGTTAGTGCGTGTGTTTTTACGTCATGATAAAGTATGGTAAAACTAAGGAAATCAGAACTGCTTCCAGAATCTCCATTCTGAAAAATGTTGACTCCGTTTTTGAGAAATGCTCAGTGTTTGAAGGCTTGTATTTTTGATGTCGTACAAACTTCAATCCTCGTCTAAGCATCATACTTGAAGAGTCACAATCCAGACTAATAAAAAATCCAACGGTGCGCACACATGAAAATTATTCTCCATGTTTCAAGTGGGCCCGGGAAGCTTTTGCGCTTGCAGAAATTGTTTTGAGGCACGCAGAGGTGTGTTTCTGCAGACGACTGTCCATCGCCCCTGCTGTGGACAGCATGCTACAGCGAACCTGCCTCGATAATTGCCCTCGAACTGTATACATGGGGCTTAACGCCTCAGCTTCGTCCCCAGTGTGATTTGTTTTAGTTAGGTGTGAAACCACTGCACTGGTGAGCGGTGTCATCGTTCCGTTGTTCACACAAGAAGGGTGTTCACGAGTCCGTTCGGATAGTCGCGGGAATTAGCGGTCTGCGTACGGGTAAATGCGCCCCCCCCCCACACACACACCGTATCCCGAGTTATGCCCATGATCAGATGAGCGGACAGACAACTACATACGTGATGGTGGTGAATCCGATTTCCAGTCTCATGATGAAAACTTTTCAAGTAATCTAAAATGTGATTTTATTTTCCCCAAAAAAATTATTTCTCAGTAGTAATATATATGGTGATGTATTGGTATGAACACAAATCACTAAAAGCGAGCTTGTTCGCCACTGTTTTGTTTGGAATGTGCTCTGTACGACTATTCTGACATTATTCCTCATGTCTTTGCCAAATAACTAAATAACTGAATAAATAATGTTGCCGACTCATAGTGCCAGATCTGTACAGGAATGTTTGGAATAGACAAGGTGCGAAAAAACTAAAAAATATTTGTTTGACTACATTGTTATGCTCTTGGAGTGCTTTTTCGAAACTGTTTAACAAACGGACAGCAAATAAACTGTGAGAGAACCGTTGAAAGTGGATGCATAGTCGCCGGGGTGGAAAAGAAATTTCTCGGCTTTAAATTGCTTGGTTGAGACACAATAAAAAGGATAAATACTAGGAATCCCTATTGGGAGTTAGGTGATAACTCATATTGATCGGGTCTTCTACTTAATAATTTGTAAGAAACGTCAAAACCCCGCTCAGTCCAAAGTCAAACAGACAGCAGATTCGTTCGCGACTTATTATCATCAGATATTTCCACAAGACGTGAGAACGCGTATACCTAACAAGTCTCAAGCCGCCTCAATATGAGATTCGCATTACGGGGCAACCGATACGTACTCTTAGTTCAGTACTGGTGCAACGCAAAGACCAGTGACCGAGAGGAAGACCAGGATTCTTCACATCGGGTTCAGAATGCTTGGAATGCCATTTTGATATTCGTGTTTACGAAAATCAACTGCAACCGAGTGACGTGAACAAAAAATATTCGCTTGTGCTATTAGACATGTGGTGGTATTGGATTCCAGGATCTTCCAGGGCATATATTTGTGAGAAATCAAATCTGATTCGAAGCTTTTACTTATTCCTGAAGATCTCGAATAAAATAAAGATACTTTTTTTCTAGAATTCACCTGATTAGCAAATAGACAAAATTCTGATTACGATTCAGTTTCCTTTGCTCATACATTTGACAATTGAGTATGTTTTTCGATTGAACAACAAGATATTACAACCTCTCCCCTCGAAAGTAGAACGTAGTACCCCTATCTCTCGCAGAGTTATTGAAATCCCCGGTGTTGAAGAATGTACAGCAGGTCAGGGTTCTCTAGGGATGACTAGGGACCTTCGAACATTTCCGACGGGAAATTTTTTTACAAGGGTTCCATTTTCCACTATATCTCCTCAATCTCACTTTGCACAGCAGCCGCAGCCGTAGTCAACTTATTGTCCCAAAGATCGCTTTACTTTCCGCACGCCTTCGTACCACATGATTACCCTTTCATTGGCTGCCTTTCCATTCTTAAAATTTCTTTCTGTGAGCATTTATTCAGTAAAAGGAAGTAAAAGAACCTGTAGCGTGTCCATTTGAAGTCGATCACCTCGTTAACTTTGACTTCCATCTCCCTCGTCTGGGGTCGCACTGATACACGGTTGCACTGATTTTGTAACTCGTTTTTTTAATTCTGACACGTCGTGCTCCATTGCTTTTGCTTCTAACAAGCCTGTCAATATGTCTTACCCGCTTTGTTTCCTACTTGAACTTATGTTCAAAATACTCAGCTGTACAACTCGAATCAGGGCTAAAAACTCATAGGATGGAAACGTTAACGTTAACATCCAATAGGAACATGTGGTTTGGTCAGTTAAAAGAAATGGCTAGCAATTGGGTTATATATTGCTTCTAGTCCATAAATAATAGCCAATTAGAAACGATTGCTAGCGCGAGATACTTAAACAGAGAACTTTCATGTGTGGAACTGATGCAATTATGCAAAGTAAGTTATGAACTGTAAAAGTCCAAAAGACTAAAGTGGATTACTTGCAAACTATCTTAATTTCAACGTATAAATGCTAGTGAGATTAGGCGAAAAGAATACCCAGTGGTACCCGAATGAGCTAATCTGACGGAAAGTAAGCGTTTGAACATATATGACGGATAAGTGCAGTCTGTTACATGAGGTTCCATTACAGAGGGGTTATCAACAGAAATTGTGTATCGAATTTGTACGGTTCAATGACATCAATTATATTGGTTTTAATTGTTGTGCTGGTCTTCTGTTACCACTTGCAGTGGATAATAATAATTCCCTGTATGCTTTGTAATCCAATGAAATGCACTTTTTTTCTCTTCCACGGGTTCAATGCAGTCAGTGATGGGATTGAGCAAACCAACTGCACTCTACTCATGCGAGCCTTATGGATATATTGTCAAGATTCAGCCAGATTACATATAATCTTTAGGTTACTTGCAATTTGTTTCCTTCGATGGACGTAAATAACTCTAAACTTTCGTTTGATATGTAGGCGTTTTGCCACCGAGTTATTGTCATGTGTTTCGTCTCTAAATATTCACTTTTCAAAAGGGGAGTATTTGATCGGATCCCGATTATGATCTGTCTTTCTGTCTCCAGTTGTGGTCAGCTCAAACTGGATTGCCAACATTGTTTGGCTGCGTGTGCTGAAGAATTGAAGAGCAGTTCGTTGACCTGCAAACCCACCGCGAACCCGGCTGATAATGGCCGTTCACCAAGACTGGAGATTTGTTTCGATTGTTGCGCCCGGGACAATTGCAGTGATGTATGTGACAAATACCCAGCGCATCGATGCCACATGCAAATGTGTCACTACGGTTAGTGCTCGTCTTTCTTTCATTCAGTTTATAGTGATCTGTTTCTTGATTTTATTAATAACTCACTGATTGAGCAAACGCCTTTGCTATTCTTTGATCAACTCGCTCGCCTCATGTCGATTTGTATAATATTTTCGCATCACTGCAATCATCTTGGTTGGTTCAGGCCGTTGCACATCAAACGACAGAGTTCGTCAATTGTTTTCTGTTCTCAGTAAATAGCTTGTTTTCGCATTCATGAAAGCTGTCCACAAAACTGAATAGACAGACGCTTGATTCCGAAACTCTAGTAATGCAAATAGAGAAACTGGGGCTACAACAACTTTTCGGATGTAATAACTGTTATCAGTCTGGGAAATATGGATGAACATCTATGTATGCAGGGAGTGGTGCAATCCCATCTCTAAGATCATGCACACGGTGACTCTTTCGTGTCAACCACATCCCGTTGTTAGAAAGGCTTAGCTTATTGACTTTAACGGAACTTGAGAGGCCCATTTTTCCGGTAATTTCCTGTGTATAGTACTGTGGCAACACGTGGTGAGTACAAAAGGCAGTGCGTCTGCATTACTTCTGTACTGTGGCTTGATAGATGTTTTACAATATATTTGGCCTTGGAAACAACATTGAGAAATGCCCGCACAAGCTCTTGTTGATAAAACCCTATCTTATCAGTCGTGGGGCTGTCGTTTCGAAATATTTTAGGGTGTTTTAAGCCTTTTTTATTTCTTCTCTATTCCTACACCCTACAGGTTTGCGCTTGGATTTCCCGCTCACACCGGAATGGCCTAAGCAAGGTGAATTCCTATGCCACGTACAGCCGGCTCCAAGTCGACCGGTCTATCGTCTGCATTGGAGTTTACTCTACCAGGGCCGTCCACTGACTCCCGACAGGTTCCCTGCAGCACTGGTGCTTTCCACACCAAATGCAGATGGAGAGCGACGTAGCACGCCTGAGCCTCAATCGGGTAAGCATACATTGCGATAAGCCTATACATTTATTACATAACAACAGGTGTGATCCACAGTTAAAGACTAAACATATATCCATAACGAATAATGTACAATGAGGATGGTAAGATACCAGTCCAAACACCCACACAGGCACATTTTGTTCTTTCTATCCTTAAAACTACAAAGGTTATAAGAACGGTCAAAAACGAATAAGGAAATTTTATCGCTAAATTCGTTTTTCCATTGAGCCAAAATTATTAGGAGAAAACGTGCTTTACGCTGCTTCTGCAAGAGACCCAAACGGCTCATTTCCTGTAAGGATGCTAGTTGGAGCACAGTAAATCAGTATGATCAGACAATGGTGCAGATAAATATAAGAATAAAGAGAGAGAGAGACTGGAGCTTGTTGCCAAGTAAGCCATGTGGTATTATTCCCGATGGAGTAATCATGGGAACCCAAGTTAGCGAAGAAGCTCATTTTCAGTGTTACATCCAATTGTGAGCATGTGATACTGGTATTCTGTTAGAGAACGTTAATGGGACTCATCCGAAAATAAGGGTCACACTAGAGAAAGAAACCACAGATGGTCTTACATTTCTAGATGTGTTCTTGTCTGGATAAGCAGATAGATCCAGTCTTAAAAGCATTCACTATGAGGAAACATGAGCGGGACAGTACAGACAGTACGAAACAACTGAGTTTGATCACCGTCAAGTTTTCATCTCCTTTATGTGATCAAGGGAAGGTTATCCACAGAGGTCAAGTTACGAAGTTTGTCAACAGCCGAGGCTCTATTGCCATCTATCTTCACACACCCTTTGTAGGCACAGGAACAATTTATAGGAACACCGCCTGTTTAGTCTAGTGTAAATTTTACTGTGTTTAGCCAGTTGATGTAGCACTGAAAAGGAGTTTTTTTGCCAACTTCTGTTGTAATTCGTTCCATGTGGGGAAGATGACTCATTGTAATTGTTTATTTACACTTCCCTGCGGTTGCGGTGGTTATTATAAGCAAGAATCGATTGCTGTTTGAAACGCTAAAACCAAATAGGCTGATAATAGATTTAGAATTGAAATTCCAGGTGAACACGTCAAGACCGGATCGCAGAGTTAACGGTGCTAAATGATGGATGACTGCACGCACTAGTCTTGAATAGATAGGGTGAATGAAGTGAAAAACGGAGGAACAGAGAATGTATAAAATCTCTTGAATAAGATGATTGCATCCGAGATGTGAAAATAATAACGGATAATTCGATTTCAGATAATGAGGCACACAACCAATATCGCATTTGAAAGTTGTTGCAATCAATCCAAGAGTGTTGATGTGAAACGATCTACTGTGCAGTGTACAAATCCATCATGTTTTATTTTTAGGAACCGGTAAACCTTAAACACGGGACTTGGATTCGTGAGCCGCACAGGTCTCACTTCGGTGGTAGGCAGCTCTGCAGCAATCCGGTTCAATACCATGCCTAAACCAGCCGGGCCTTATGTGGTCGGCCACTTCAAGCTTCGAGGCTTAGGGTGCCGGTTTCCATTCATGCACTGCAGGTCTTATCGACTATGAAATTCACTCCGTCTGCTGTTCATCACACAAATGTGTGTGTTCAAAAAATTGAATGAGCGGCTCATCCTGAGCTTCTAACAAGTTTTTCTTACCGTATTTCACGAACTATCAGAAACATAGCTTAAGGGTGTTTAGTTTTTCATGCAATATATGTGTGGTTGGTCACATTTCTACCACGGTATTCTTGTCCGTTTAGGTAGGATTCTCGGAGTGTAATAGTTTCAGGTAAAATAATAAAACACAATTGTTGAACAGATTTAGAGCCTAAAGCCAGCGTTACCAAGCATTTGTCTGTAAATCAGCAAACTTTGATTCGTTTCCATTGACAGGTACTGAACGATGGAATTTGGGTCAGGGAGGTCAGTTGAATCAAGTTTATCGCGGTCTACTCAATGTACAGTATACATCTGGATTGGAACATTTGCCTGATATGATTGGCGGCACGGATACAATGCAAAGCGCTTACTTCTGGAGTAAACAGGTTAGTTTCTCTCTAGGAGGCTGTATCTCTAAAGCGATTGATTGATTGATTGATTACCTCGAATTTGTTAAGCAACTAAATTCCAATATTTTCTAACGATTAAATATGTCTATCCTCTAAAAACCTATTTGCCTACCGCATAGTTCCCATTGGTGAACATTAAACTTTTGGTCCGTGTTTCAAATCATCTTTTTAATTTATAATTTTTTTTAATTTTTGTGTGCACTGTACAGTTTCTCATTACAATCCAATGCTGTATCATTACGGATTTTACTCTTACTAGTAAAAAAATAAGTGCTATTATTTCATGCATTTTGTTCTAACCCACCGCAACAGTTGTATAGCTTTCAGGTAGTATTAAAGCACACCAGTGTCTACAATCCCGCTTTCACTTATGTCAACTGGTTACCACTTTTGAGGATGCTACTAGTGCGGTTTACCTGGCGAAACCCTGTTCCTCGTAACAGATAAAAATTATCTTCAAAAAATATACGGTGAAACTATAAAAAAAATCATCCATTCGTTCATTTTTTTCTCCCTGTTCTGCGTTTTCCCCATTTTCATTTAGTCTTCATGTACCTCGTCACAACTTCGTTATCATTGTTTTACATTGGTAACATGCTTGTTCTCAAGCCGGTGATATATATATATATATATATATATATATATATATGATAATGTCTGTAGTAGTGGTGTTTTGAAGCTGATGCACAAACTGACAACTAATTTTGACAGACGGAAACTCTGTACTAATAGCTGGGATGATACGAATCTTAGTCTTTCATTTTTTCTCTTTCATCAATCCTATATTTCACTAATAATTATCTTTTTTATTTTATTTTCATTCTCTCTATCCCCTTTCATTTTATACATTGTTCATTGTTTCATCTTCCCCAGTTGAATCAGAAACAGCCACTTTAATCTAATTACGTAATCCCCTGACGTTATTTTGCCTAAGCCCTGCAGTAGATCGAATGATCTTCAAAGACAGACCTCATCAGATAGTACTTTGGGCTCTTTGTCTAAACAAACGGAAACCTTTAAACAATAACGACCCGCATTTCAAATGTATCCAGTATAGTGAAAGTTTTATTGAAGAGGGAGAAATATTTTTAATTATTAGTTTAATATATTTAAGTTGAGCAAACAATAATATTCGATATTCAATAATATTCAGAGTTTCCTAGAAAGTCCTATTTTGCTTTGTGAATCCTGTGGCATTGTTATCACGTCGACCAATCTTCGTTCGCTTCTGTACTGAACGCATCCCGCTCAGGGCAATTTCTCATTCTGCGCTGTTCTTACTGATCTATTACCGATATTGGACAGTTTTTCGCAAGACTGTCCATGCTAGCGAAACATCTCATTTCTAACTTTAAGGGCTTCATCGTGGATGGTTACGCTTATCAGGTTAATTGCTGCTTGAGTAAGCAATAAAAGTGTTCTAATTTTTAGCTCTCGTGAAACTAAACAGCAAAAGTGCAAGAGTGGTGTAGACGCCGACTAAGAATTTTGTTTTCTTTTCTAGTTGTTAATCAATTTGTACACCACACATGCTCTCATATTGTGATGGAAGGTGGTACAAAGGGAGTCCCGACTAGTGAACGAATCAAGAGTAGGATCGACCCAACCAGGTGCGCAGACGTAGTGGCTGGAAGTACTTCGCTAGACAATGTGGACTATCACTCAAAACGAACGAATCGATAACTACAGCCCGACGGACAATCCACATCGAGAAGTCAATTTGGCAAACAAGCTCGTTTTCGGTGCCTCATTTACTAGCCAAATACAGCACTCTTTTATAGGTTACAAAATCATATAGTTCAAAGAGATAGAATACGCGTAAGTAATGTCGGTGTTTGTATGCGTGTGTGTGTGTGTATGTGTGGATAAATGGGATAATACAGTCAGGGGTGTATGTGAGGTCGAATCATTCTGCAAATGTCACTAGTACTGTCGAATGAATCAAATGCATTTGACACTCATTTGATAACAGGCTTTATGTCATTCTAGCGTTTATGGCTGGCCATGGTAAATCCAAGGCTCTGACCGACTTTTTTTGAACGCACAAGGGGGGCTTGTTCAACCGAATCGCGATCGCTCCGGATGTTGACACACACACACACGCATACAAACACAGACATTACTAACGCCTATTCTACATCCTTGACCTATATGATTTTGTAGCCTATAAAAGAGTGCTGTATTTGGCTAGTAAATGAGGCACCGAAAACGAGCTTGTTTGCCAAATTGACTTCTCGATGCAATCCACGGGTATTTTCCAGAATCCACATCGAGCCAGAAAGATATTCACCGAACACCAAAACGTTGGAGCCGTCGATCAACGTATCTCACGCTACGATCGGGTCAAACCAGTCGGAACGGCACGCGGACGAAGAAGAATAGTGCGGACCAAAACCAACAGGAATGGACCAACAGAATGAGGCATGAATCATCCCGCCGCTCGGTTGAGAATTGATTGTATATAATCGAACGCATACACCGGTTGTTTTTGAATTGGATCAATAAACGTTTTGCCAGCCGACTCGTCTTCTCGTTACAATAAGTTCCACTATGCGTCCATTTACCGATTATGCATACCGAAATATCTAAGCATAAGGCACGGAAACCAGTGAACTGAATAGGAAAAGTATTTTAACCGGGGGCGCAGTTTTACCGTTTCCTTCTATTGTTCATCGATTTTGTCTAAAAAGTTCTTGTGGAATATTTTTTTCCACTCTCCAATTATTTGTCCCCATTAGTTTTTATTTTTTGTTTCCTCTAATTATGTAATCATTCATGAACATCAGCCGTTTTTAGTCGATTGATTTAGTGACCCTTTTTCTAAGTGCAATAAAAAAGAAATAATCTAGTTACTCGTCTTCCCGCCATTTACCATAAGCTAATAAAGTTGTAACAATCCTCCCGCGATCTCTCGGTCACAGTATCATAGCATTTCGGGTGGTTGTCCTCGCCCCCATACAATTACCGATATCAGTTACTTTATTGTCTTACGCAGTCGATCACAGTTTTTCTTTCGCTTCTCATGTGAGTTACCAATTTCTGCCACATGAAACAGTAGGCTATTGGGGGCCCCAAGTTTCAAACCCCTTGTCTGCTTTCATTGGATATTGAGTAAAAACATGTTCCTCCTCCGTCGGAGGCGAGACACATTTAGCATATATGTGATTCACGTCTCCTTTGTCAATTTCCTCCTTCCGTGATCCGGATCAGACCATCCCGTTGGTCAGTGGAAGTGCGACAAATACTGCATTCGATCCCGTTGCTTCGGCCACCTCGGCTGCTGCCACTGGAGCCATTTACGCCAACACAATGCAATCGTCATCCTCGCACGAGCTGTCTAGCGTGCAAGTTTGGCCATCACAGCCATTAGGTGTGAGCACAGCCGCGTGGGCTCGTTTGAGTGGTGCACCGTGTGCGGCGGCCGATCCGTTGTTGGAACAACTGAATGTGTACACTCCTGCACTTCCACCATACATTGCCATGGGTGAGGCCAAGGTAAGCAATCTATTGACCTGGTTCTCATCCAAATAAAAGTTAAACTTATTTTCCAAAGTAGCATGGCTATTCAGTTTTCTCAATCATATTGAACATTTATTCTTCGAACGAACCCACAACAACAGAGTTCTATCTCTGTTTTCTGAATACAACCAAAAAGGACAAGAATATTAAGTGTTAATGTTAATAATAATAGTGATAATTGGATTTCTCCCCTGTACTATTATTTGATAGGAATTTAGACCGCAATACATATGAGAATGTTGGGAAACAAACGGATGATTAAGTTTTTCCGGTATGGCCGGGATTCAGTTGCTCTGTCTGCGATCCGGTTCGATGATAACCTATAATAACGCA